AAAACAGTATTTCACTTTGGGAGGCCGAGACGGGTGGATCACGAGGTCAAGAGATTGAGACCATCCTGGTCAACATAGTGAAACCCCGTCTCTACTAAAAATACAAAACATTAGCTGGGCATGGTGGCACACGCCTGTAGTCCCAGCTACTTGGGAGGCTGAGGCAGGGAAATTGCTTGAACCCAGGAGACGGATGTTGCGGTGAGCCGAGATCATGCCCTTGCACTCCAGCCTGGGTAACGAGCGAAACTCAGTCTCAAAAAAAAAAAAAAAAAAAAACAGTATTTACTCAGGACGTGTTATTGCACATATTGCATAACAGTGTTTGAACTCAAAGCAGTACAGAGCAGATATTTTAAGTGAAAAATAAACTTCAATTAAGGATCATAGAGATTTCCTTGAAGAAAAACTCATAACCAACATCAGTAAAATTCAGGAGAAAACAGTGCAAGAACAACGGAAAGTGAAAAGGGACTCCTGAAACGTATCAAGTCATTCCTGATGAAATTTAATGCATTCATTCAGGGTGTCTTGTGAACAAAAACTACAACTTGTAAACACAAATCCCAAACTGGGGAAATTATTAATCAGTGAGAAGGCGCAGAGAGAAGTAAGAAAAAGTTGACACAGGGTAAATATGGTGAAGCCCAGAGACAGGACTGCAGAACACCTTTCTGCCTACTCTGATGAAACAAACACTTAAGCGCCTCTAAGGATCCCCAAAGGACAGATGGACACACATATACACACACACCTGAGGGGGAGAAGAGAGGTGAATAAATTCTTGTATTTCTAAAGCTGATCTACAGAAAAGCAGTGTCATCAATTTCCTAAGAACATTCTCAGCCATCTTAAAACAGCAGAAATTAGGAAGATGACATATTTTAACGAATCCTTTGCTTAGCTTTAGGATAACAAAGTATAAAGTGAACAACATATAACCAAAGGTGCTAATGATTAAACAAAGAAAAGTGCAAAACTCAAGTCCAAAGGCCACTTCGGTCACTTCAGTCATAGCTAAGTATTACATTCAAAGGATCTTTTCATCAAATGAAGAACTAATGACGTTATAGGTCTGTTATTTTTTAATTCTAACCACTTAAAGCGGTGTGTTTTGATGGATGAGAAAACTCAGGCTGAGAGCCTTAAGTAACCAAGACTACCAAGGCAGGCAGTGAGACAAACCCAGGCAGGACTCGAACCCTGGTTGACTGAGCCATTCTCATTACCGCCACAGTCAACACAGCAGTTTAAGTTCAACCTTACTAGTCAACCAGGAGATGAGTTTTGAAGACAGAGTTTAAAAGGGGCATCTGACTTTCTCTCTCTCCCAAACTAGAACAGAACTTGGCTGTCAAAACAAAAAAAGAAGTGAACGCTGTGCCGCCCGGGCTCTCCAACCCACAGCCCGGACGGAGCCCGCCCCTCTCGGCTCGCGCAGCCCCCGCCACGCTCCGTTCTCCGTCCGGGCCGAGGGGCCGCAGCTGTCAGACGCCAAGGGACAGAGACGCGGCCCAAAGCAAGAGACAAAGAGCCTTCCTGGCTGCGGCCGGAGGCTGCCGGCCCGTGTCCGAGCCGGGTTTCCGCAGCTGCGGCCCCGGCGTGGGGAGGACCGGAGCCGGGGGCGCGGCAGTAGAGGAGCAGCCGCCGGGGCCGAGGGGCTGCGCGAGAGGCGCGGGCCCGGCCGGCGGACTCGCCCCCTCCTCATTACCTTGCCTTGGGCTTCCCGTCACGGTCGCCGCCGTCACGGAGCTTCTGAGCCGAGGCGACGCAGCGAGAGCTGATTAGCGGGCGTCAGCTGCGTCCCGCACTGGCGAAGCAGCTCCAGGTCGGGACGGAGAAAGGCCAGGGGGCGGGAGTCGAGAGGAGGTTGGTTCCCAGCTTGTGCAGATTTTACTCCGCTAGTCCCTAGCACTCGGCTTCCGCTCCGCCTCCCGACCGGCCCTTCCAGCACTCTGGGACTAGCCGCCCATGGCGCGAGGCATTGTGGGAGATGTAGTATCAGAATGGCGAAGCGGCGGCACGTGCTTCCAGCAGCTCCGCACCTACCCGGGATCAGAACGACGCCGTTGCGCGGCAACCAGAGAGGGGCGGCGGGCTCTTCCGTATTGGAAGATGAGCCCGCCAGAGATATACTCTCTGCCTTAACTCGCTGCAGGAGGTTGAAGAAGGGCTACCTCCAGTGAGAAACCAACCTCCCAATACAGTTGACCTGAGGCTGGGAAAGCTTAGTGGTGATTAAGTGTGCCACGGATGAGAATGCCAACTATTGCAGCCGAAGGTCCTTAGCCAGTGGAGTGAGGCAAGAAAAATAAAAGGATTGAAGATTAAATAGGAGTAAACAAAATTATTTTTTCATAGGTGATATAATTATGTATGTGGAGCCCGGGCGCCGTTGGCGCATGCCTGTAATACCAAAACTTTGTGAGGCCAAGGCGGGCGGATCACCTGAGGTCGGCAGTTCGAGACCAGCCTGACCAAAATGGCGAAACCTCGTCTCTACTACAAATACGCACTTAGCAGGGCGAAGTGGCAGGCGCCTGTAATTCCAGCTTCTCGGGAGGCCAAGGCAGAAGAATTGCTGGAACCCTTTTGGCAGAGGTTGCAGTGAGCTGATGTCATGCCACTGCACTCCAGCCTGGGCAACAAGAGCGGAACTCTGTCTCAAAAAAAAAAAAATACGTATGTGGCACATCCAAAACAATCTACAGATAAACTGTTAACAATAAAAGAGTTTAACAAGGTTAATAGATAGAAAAATCATGTTTTTAGAAAATCAATATTTATATATGCCAGTAAAAAAAGAGAATTTTTTTAAAAAGATAGCATTTACAACAGCTCCAAACAAATATCAAGTACCTAGGAATAAATCAATCAAAAAAAAGCAAAACCTGTCTGAAGAAAACATTGAAAAACAGACTGAAGAAGACCTAAACAGAGATATAACATGTTCATAGATTGGAAGAGTCAATCAATATTGAAAAATGCCAAGTCTCTCCAAACCTATCCACAGAGCCAGTGCAATGCCCAGCAAAATCTCAATAAATTTCTGTATATGTGTGAGAAACTTGACAAGCTAATTTAAAATTATGTGGAAGAGCAAAGACAAGCATTCACGAAGAAGAGGAGGAAGGAAAGAAAAGAGAAGGAGAAGGAGTGGGAGGAGGAAAACTTGTGCTAACAGATTAACAGGATTTTTTTTGAGACACAGTCTCACTCTGTCACCAGGCTGGAGTGCAATGGTGTGATCCTGGCACTGCAACTTCCATTTTCCAGTTTCAAGCAATTCTCCTGCCTCAGCCTCCTGAGTAGCTGGGACTACAGGCATGCACCACAACACCCGGCTAAAACAAGCTTTATTGTAGACTGGGCACAGTGGCCCATGCCTATAATCTCAGCACTTAGGGAGGCTGAGACAAGTGGATTGCTTCAGCAAAGTTCAAGACCATGGTAAAACCCCATCTCTACCAAAAAAATGTAAGCCAGTTGTGGTGGTGTGCACCTATAGTCCCAGCTACTTAGGAGGCTGGGACAGAAGGATCACTTTTAACCCAGGAGGTGGAGGCTGCGGTGAACCATAATTGTGCCACTGCACTCCAGTCTAGGCGACAGAGCAAGACCCTTCCTCAAAAACAAAACAAAAGAAACTTTATTTTAAAGCTGTCAATCTAAATAATAGGACCTCTAAAAGAAAAAGACATTCATTTGAGAGTAGGGTGTTGAAATTGGAATGCACATGCCACAATAAACTCTATGTGTATTCAGGGAGGTAAAGGAAGACAAAGGTTTTTACAGAAAACATGAGGATTAAATATATGCTCTGAAATTATTATGCTTTGCCACAAGGATCAATAAGAACAAGGAGTTCTAGGTTGAACAGGCAGTTGCTGGGCAGATGTTCTCACACAGGTACTTGTTGGGTAAGGTTGCAAAGGTCTTTGTGTAAGGTTGTGGTTTTTGCAAAGTATTTTGCAATAGTTTAGTTATGAGGCACACAAATGTGAGAGCCTTCCCTTCTTAGCCTTCCCCAGTTCTGTCAGGGAGTTTTGTTTCTTAACACAAGTGACTTCATTTTGATTCTGATAATTTTCACATTTCTCTTTTTTTTTTTTTTTTTTTTTTTGAGACAGAGTTTCGCTCTTCTTACCCAGGCTGGAGTGCAATGGCGCGATCTCGGCTCACCGCAACCTCCGCCCCCCGGGTTCAGGCAATTCTCCTGCCCCAGCCTCCTGAGTCGCTGGGATTACAGGCACACGCCACCATGCCCAGCTAATTTTTTGTATTTTTAGTAGAGAGGGGGTTTCACCATGTTGACCAGGATGGTCTCGATCTCTTGACCTCGTGATCCACCTGCCTCGGCCTCCCAAAGTGCTGGGATTACAGACGTGAGCCGCTGCACCCCACCCCACCGCCATGACATTTCCTTATTTAACCAATGTATACTAAAGAATCTCATAGGTCAGGTTCTGTCGAGTTTCTAGCAAAAACTACTGATTGTAAAATTTCCATTACACCATTATCCTGCCAAGTGAAAAGTAACATTAAGGGGGAAAGAGTCTCACGATATGGAGTCTTGTTCCAATGTCTTGGGAAAAGCTGTCTACAATGTGAAAACAGAACTTCTTGTTCTGGTTTGCAGTTTGGATGTTTCTAGTCATGACATTGGGCAGTTTGGTAAACTTTTTGTGTGGCCTATACATCAGGCACAAGCTTGTTCCTTAAAATTTATCCAGTTTTAGCTTTTAGGGCTTTAGGAACAAAGCAGTTTCCATTTTTAGTAATTCTATAGAAGAAGGGTATATTTGAAGACTCTAGGAGAATTCAGGATTTAATGTAGTCTTCAGGTAGATAACAAGAACTTGAAAATAATGCACAGGGCTATAATCTAATGGATGTATTACAGCTTTTCTTTAGCAGATTGTTGTAAACTATAGATAGTTCAAGAGAGAAAATTTTTGGCTAGGCGCAGTGGCTCACACCTGTAATCCCAGGCTGAGGCAGGCAGATCACTTGAAGTCAGGAGTTCGAGACCAGCTTGGCCTATGTGGTGAAACCCCCATCTCTGCTAAAAATACAAAAATTAGCCAGTGGTGGTGCATGCCTGTAATCCCAGCTACTTGAGAGGCTGAAGCAAGAGAAATGCTTGACCCCAGAAGGCAGAAGTTGCAGCAAGCGGGGAGATCACACCACTGCACTTGAGTCAGGATAACAGTGAGACTCCATCTCTCCATCTCAAAAAAAAAAAAAAGAAAGAAAATTTTCTTAAATCTGGAAAACAAAACATTTAAATTTAAAAAAAAGTTTCAAATAAGTATCATAAATGCCAAGAAAGGGAAATGGAAAAATAAATAATTTAAAAATTGCTGGGCACAATGGCTCACGCCTATAATCCCAGCACTTTGGGAGGCCAAGGTGGACAGATCACTTAAGCCCAGGAGTTTGATATCAGTCTAGGCAACATAATGAAACCCTGTCTCTACCAAAAAATACAAAAAATTAGCTAGGCGTGGTGGTGCATGCTTGCAGTCCCAGCTACTCGGGAGGCTGAGGCGGAAGAATCAACTGAACCAGGAGGCAGAGGTTACAGTGAGCCGAGATTGTGCCACTGCACTCCAGCCTGGTGTCAAAGCGAGACTCCGTTTCAAAACTAAATAAATAAATAAATAAATAAATAAATAAACAAACAAACAATAAAAAATAAGTGACATAAAAATACCTTTATCAGCTTTTCAAATTCGTGTAATTGATTTTTGTTTTGTTTGATCTTGATAAGCAGTTTCATGAACCCATCAGTTTTTTAAATGTGCGTGAGAAATGTAGCTGGTTGGAGTCCCAGAAAACTTGGCATGCCTTAATGTTTGAAAATCCCAAGCTGGACGCAGTGGCTCATGCCTGTAATCCCAGCACTTTGGGAGACCGAAGCGCATGCATTACCTGAGGTGAGGAGTTCAAGACCAGCCTGACCAACATGGTGAAACCCTGTCTCTACTAAAAATACAAAAATTAGCCAGGCATTGTGGCACATGCCTGTGATCCCAGCTGCTATGAGGCTGAGGCAGGAGAATTGCTTGACCCTGGGAGCCAGAGGTTGCAGTGAGCCAAGATTGTGCATTGCACTCCAGCCTGAACAACAAGAGCGAAACTCTGTCTCAAAAAAAAAAAAAAAGAAAAGAAAAGAAAATCCCAGGCAGAGTACAGCGGCTCTCACCCGTAATCTCAGCACTTTGGGAGGATAAGGCAGGAGGATCTCTTGAGGCCAGGAATTTGAAACCGCCTGAGCAACATGAAGAGACACCTTCTCTACAAAACAAAAAAAGTAGCTGGGCATGGTGGTGTGCACACATAGTCCTAGCTACTTGAACCTAGGGGTTCAAAGCTGCAATGATCTATGATTGCATCACTGAACTCCAGCCAGGGAGCCGCAGTGAGGTTCTGTTTCTAAATAATAATAATAATAATGAAAAATTAAGAAAACCCCATTACATTACTTATCAATCTCTCAAGAGCAAAGAACATCTTATCAATCTTCTCAGAATGTCAGAAGTTTGGACCAGTGTATTTGATGGTAGCAACCTCCCTAGTGGCTTTTAATTAGCCATCCTGCGTTCATTATTTAGAATGTTTATTTTTGCTCTCAGAAGGTTTTCAGAAAGAAGCAAGGGAAAAGACTAAGTCAGTCGTATGTAACCAAAATAAGACCAAGAGTATTTATAAATTTTAACCGATGCATGCAGATCAGACAAATATTAAAGTAGGCACACAGACCAAAAGCAAATTCATCAGAAAAGACATGCCTCACAGGCAGAATGGAAGTTCTATAGAAATCAGAAAGGATTTACCAGAAAAGACAAGAAGTCTTTGTTTAATCCCAGGAGAGATGTAAAGTCCATTATTTACAGCCTCCTTATTCAAATCAGACCCCAAATAAAGTCAAGAGCTTCTACCATAAAGAAGGAGGCATAGTCTTAGAGAAGACTCATCAG